ACAGCACTGTCTAATATAAACTACGTTGAGTGAGAAACCTGTAACTTTTAATTTTTCATCGTCGATTATTTCAGATGGGACTTAGCAAGCACTGCCTTTCATGTTTGTCTGAGTTAACAGTGTGAATAATCCTTTTTCCAGGGCCAACCCCCAAAAAAATGAATCAAGCCAAGGTGACCATTTACAGCAGGGCCACTTGTAATGCACCTGAAGTATTAAATGGTGAAGTCACCAAGACCATGTTCTGTGCAGGTAACCTGCAGGGAGGAGTTGACTCCTGTCAGGTCAGTCTGATCTCCCCGTCACACACTCTGAGATGTAGCGATACGTGGACAACCTGAGATAAGTCTGTGGTTCTGTGTGCTGCAGGGTGACAGTGGAGGTCCCCTGGTCGTGAAAGAAGGAGATCGATGGTGGCTGGCAGGAGCTACGAGCTTTGGTTATGGATGTGCTTTGAAGAACAAGCCAGGAGTCTACGCCAATGTACCATTCCTTATTGACTGGATATACGAAAACATACAGGTACGCATGCAATGGGAGGAGAATAGAGAATAAAGTCCTGTGAAATTATCTGTTGATTAATTAGTGGTGTTAAAAGTTTATCCTGTATTTTCTCTGCCACATCAAATATTTATATTTATAAATTTAGCTAGAAAGTCACAGCAGTGCTTTATTTGTGCGTACTGTGCTCTACTGTTCACTTTGTACATGACATTGAACGTTTGACTGTTTTTCATGTTGTGTAAAATTATGTTCTCTGATACATAATTGGGTGATTAATAATCATCTAAGAGAACAAAAGAGAATCTGCTCTTTCCCCTAAATCTAATCATACTTTTTTTTCTTCACCTCCATAGAATAACTGAGACGTCGGTGAATTTGTGAAAGGAACTACTTGAGTTACTTGCAAAACAAAAATCAAGCAACAAAATAATTGATCGGCATTTTTATATTCTTGTTTATAGCATGCACTGAATTTCTTGCATTTGCACAAAATAAAGCTATTATTTGGTCCAATAAAACTAATTTTCAGCAAAGAGTTGTTTTTTTGTAAATTTACATTGTGTGATAGATGTGCTACAGGAAAATGTAGCTTTGCTTTTCTTACTTCTGCCTGGCTGACGAAGCTTGCTATGCCTGATACAAGGAAATGAATTCATACATGTGCCTTTTAGCTCCCACCTCAACTAAGTATGATGTCATTGAAGTGGAACAGCAAGGTCAAAGCCAGGAAATCTAATTTTAACTGTGTCACATAAATGTAATAAATTCCACTAGAGTTGTATCTCATAACTGTTTCAAAATAAAATATGACCAATGTCAAATGTTCTGAAATAAGTTGTACTTTAAGTTGAAAATTGTGTTCTGTGTGTGCGCTGTGGATGACAGCTTTGCTCACATTTCCTCACTGTTTCCACACATTATCAGAACAATCAGCCAGGAATTCAGTTCTGCCCAGTAATAAGTGACAAATCAGTTAACTAATGGTAGTTAATGTTTTATGGTATATTACTGTCACATGTTCTAAGGCGCTTGTCTACAGACAGGTTTTTTTTCAGCTACTAGCTGTTATGTTCCATTTCACTGTCTTAGCTTTGATATTTATATAATGTTTTTTTCCCAAGTCCTGTACTAAAGAGTAGTTTCACAATAATGTGTGCATTACTGTGAGACAAGTGTTTAAAATACATAGAATAAAAAAATGCTGTATGAGAATGTTATTGTGGATAATAGGTCATTGTACTCGGCGCTGAAAAGCTTAGAAATATGGTATCTAACCAGATTCTTACTCTGGATGGCATTACCTTGGCCTCC